ACTATCTAGCCCTTGTCCAATAAGGCATTGGTGATGGACTCCTTAACTCGGACCAAGTCTTGTGACTTATGTGTGTCGCTTCAGACCGTTAGATCTCCTAAAACTAGAATCTACGGTGATGACCAATTTTATATAGATTCTTAGTCCGAGACTTTTGCCCTAACCATGTCATTATTCTTGTGCCTCTTGGCGTGCTTCCTCGAGAAGCTTTTGAGTCTCTCTCTCTCGCAACTATGTGTCTATGCTCTTTTCTTCTTCTTTGTGAAACATCTTCTTTAGCCTTAAAACTTCTGGGTTTTTGGCAGTTCTATGTGTGAGGATTTTTGGTGATTCTTCGGTGTTAGTTTTGAAAGGGGTTTTCTGTGGTTTTGTGAGATACTTGTGTCCATTGTAGTGATGCCTCTGGGTCATGTTTGGGACTGTGGTCTTGTGAGTTAATCACCTTGTACAAACGGGTACAATGGTTGATCTGAGCCCAATCGATGATTATTTGATGTCTTGGTCATTGATCTTGGTTCTGTAATTTTTGGTGTCGACCTTGTAGGCCCTTTTTTGTAACAAATGAAGCACAGAAAAACTCCATTAAAGTGTTTTTTCTTTGTTGAAGAGCGATTGCAACTCTTTGCTTCATCTTTCTTTGATAGCATCTTCTTAACCACTGAAAAACACACGCCACGGTCTCTGTACCAAACTTCGAAGGAAGATTTTTGTTGTTCTTTATAACATATCTCAAGAGTATATTTTTTAATACAATGGGGGCTTCAATTCCTTGGTTGGTCATGAGTACCGTTAACTTCATGAAACTTAAAAGGAAAGTTGCACATATAGTGTTCCGATGATGAAGAGACCGAACTGAATTTTGTCATTCTAAGGATGAATTTTTTTTGCCAAGCATAAAGCATTGTAGGTGATGTTTGAATGTTGGAGTTTATACGCGTGGTGATTGTGGTGGTGGTGAAAATAAAATCCATAATCACTTGATTTTTTATTTTATTTTTTTGAGCTCTATAATTTCTGACACCACGTCAACTCTTCTAACCAGTGAGGAGTAGGGAAAAGATTTAGTATATGAGAATACTCAGTTGGACACGAAAATAATGGTACAATCTCGAATAAAATATTTAAATCATGCGTAAAAAATATCACACTGCCATCATATCTTTAGGGACCGATAAAAGCTCAATACATATCATATCTTTGGTACCGAATGACTATATCATATATATCATATATATCATATCATATCTTTAACATTAATAAGTATAATAATTCGACAACACAAAAAATAATTTAAACGCGATAAAAACAACTGCACCTCATTATCCTATTTTGTTAGATCAAATAAATTTTTGGAAAGACTAAACCAAAATACGTTCCAACTTTATTTTCAGTCTGCTGTTGTGTTTATAAAAATTACGTAGTATTTTGAAAGAAATCTGACTTTTTTCTATGTGAAAATCGATTGTATAAATGAATAAATATAGGACAAGTATTCTATAACAAGTGAAAACCCAAATTACCCAAAACTTTTATCCAATTCAAATAAAATAACCCATATTAACTAAATTTCAATGACCCCCACGTGGCTGCCCACTTTCACAACTCAAACAAAAGTAATAAATAATATTTAATGATAAATTCTTTAAATTTCACTTATTCAAATTAACTTTTTCTCAAGTTTAATATATATAATTAATTACGAACTATCCAATGAGCATAATATTAATATACTTATCTTCGCTCCATCAAGCTATAAATATTTGAACCAAATAAAATTGAATTATCACGTATATTACTTTATCAATAATTAATTAATTGACCCAAAATAATATAGGATTTAATACTATTTATCTTAGTCCATCAACTTTCGAAAATTATAAAAATATAGCAAATGGAACAAATAGTTTTATTATATAAAATTTTCAGAGCATTACATTAATAATTAATAGGACTGGACATTGGACCAATTCTTGATTTTTTTGTTTATTGAATCAACTGATCTGATCCAATTTTGTTAACACTGAAAAATATATAAAAAAAAAATTAAGAAATTCAAAGGTTAGTAATTTTGTAAATTCAATCGGGATAGTCAACCCCGATTGTACATGTAGCATGACCAATAAATATTTGAATGAGCTTGATAAGAAAAGAAAAAAACAATGTGATATTCAGTAAAAATGAATTTCATGATATTGGATCATAGAGTTAACTCGCGGGACAGATATTTCTGATGAATCCTCCACTTAACAGATTCCCGATCCAATGACTTGCGAACTGATATTGAATCATAGAGTTAACCCACGGTACCAGTGACCGCTATTTCGGTTACACATAAAAATTCTAAACTTAACCAACCATGCTCGTATAATGGAGTTTCAGACACTTATCTCGATTCAACATGGAAATCCGCAGGTTATGTTTTATCGAATTACGTTAGAATGGCGAAGTCGCCTGAATTCCTTCACAAGTTACCACAACCCGTACAAACTCGACCAGAATCTGATTCATGAATGATATATTATATTATCGGAGTCTGAATGTTCCATCTGGTATTCTGAAATGATACTTTAATATCAGATGTGCACCATACAATGCTCTGAAGCAGAAAACGTAAATTTGAGGATGCGTGCCATAAAGCAGGAATCAACCGTAATAGATTGAAGAAAAGATCGTTAAGTTATATAATTTATGTTAAATAATAAAAAAAAAATTGAGATTTTGCAGTAGTTTTAGAAATTTCATTTTTATAAATTATGAATTGTCTAGGGTGGTGTAATTTCCACAATGAAATATTTATGATAATTGGGGTCCAAGTTAAAATTTCATCAAAGGCATAGGTTTCATGTTATGTTCGATAATAGTAAATAGACGAATATTTCACATGCACCTCCTCTAGTCGAAAAGTGCTACATGTACAACAAGTTATACATCAACTTATACAGCCCCTCTCTCACATATAAAGGGTGGGGCCAATGATTAAAATAATTGCGGGTCCCAGTCCCACACATGAGAGAGGGCAGTAAAAATCAAGTGTTGTTCAAGTATATTTTTCCATCAGCTTAAGACACTTGAAAAAGTACATAAAAATTCAGATCACTGACAAATAATTTTCAAGTTCCCCTTTAAAGATGAGAAGGGATTTTCAAAAGTCAGAAGCATGATCGTTTAATTCAACCAAACACAAAGTAAAGGAAATCATTAAAGTAAATTTGGCACCTAACTCAATATAGTTGCTTGTACATCTCAAGTTAAAACTAAAACTAAAAGCTAAAATACATGAAGATTAATGAAGACCAGATATTTATACACTCAACAGCACTGTAATGTCAATTTACAGGTTTCCAAGTTAACTAGCAGTAACTTCGAGTCAAGAATTAACCTGGTTAGCATTGCTTCTGAATGGTTATGGCATATCCTGGTAATCCGAACACAGGCAAACTGTTAATTTCAGTCAGAAGCTAGAATGTGCTTAAAAAAATAAAAAAAAGGATAAAGGCACTATTTCAAGCTTTACAAAAAGCCCTCCCCATTTGTTAGCAGCACCTGAACTGAAACAAGATGTAAATGTGGAATATCTCCTGATATGAAGAATAGTTTCCTGGTCAAAATTATTTTCTCAAGGTTGTGTTCCAGGTCTGTAAATCTACAAGTAAATATTGTTCAGATTCAATACTTCGAGCATGTTTGGCTAAGCTTACAAAGTTTTACTCTAACTTTTTCAGATAAGTTTGGAAGCAAAAGGTTACTTAAAATATCATTCATTTTTTCTAAGCTTTATTTTTAATAAATTAGCGAAGTACACCATATTGATTCTTTTGAAGTATACCATATTAATCCTTTCAAGATATTATTCAACTGTACTCAACAATTTACGAAGCTTATTGAGTTATATAGCTTGCACTTCTTGGTTCAATCATTGCTGAGCAAATGAGAGCACTTACTTGGAAATGCAACACATGAGCTTTCGAACAAGAAGATAAAATCATCTGGTGGTTCAGGTCTTCATGGTTCCCGACTCAACAAGATTAACTTCTTGGGGAAGAAGATCATATCTGATATTCAACTCTTCAAATAATGCCTTCATCTCGAGGACCAGCTCAGTTCGTCGTCGGTTCTTCTCACTGAAGTCTTGAAAGTTCATCGTGTGATTGAAAAAGAGAGCCATTTTAATCTTGTTCATATTTTCAATCTCCTTCACGACTACACTGTGATTAGGATGCCACTCTTGGGGATTTTTCTCCAAATACCTGACAATTTAAAATGCAATAAGGGGACAAACTAGAAAACACAAGAACTGAACCAGTCGAGCCTATCTAGTTTTCAAAACCTTGAATGTTCAGTGCAAAGTTCAGATCATTAACATTTAACTTGAGAAATTTATAGGTTCTTCATACTTGCTTGGAAATTTAAATGCTGTTCCACCACTGGTACAACCAGACAGGCAAGTCAGCATTGTGGAGAACAAAAGAGCTTAGTCCAACAATGCACAAATAATGAGACCATCTCTTAAAATTTCCCAAAACATTAAGAAATATGAAGGATATGTTACAAGCTAAGATTTTAAATTAAATTAGTTTTACCATATTTTAGGATGATATTAATTCATGCCGACGTGAGAATACTGCCCAGATACAGAAGCATTTGTCTAACTCATTTATACTTGAAAAAACGTTAATTCTTTTCAAGATAAATAATCAATATAATTATTCCTGTAGCAGCTCGAATTAGGATAATTTCATTTTTCCAAAGAGAAGTATGGGTAAACTACTAGTTCTTGGTAACTAACAACATCAAGGAACATAAAGGAAGACACAAACTTACTTCTTTATTTTTTCTTTCAAAGCACCTATTTTCTCCACAGGTGTTTTGAAATCAATGGAGAACTCAAACGAATCACCCATATCCGGGCTTCTATAGAAATTGCTGATGGGCTTGGTAGCCAAAACAGAATTTGGATAGTATGTTTTCTCGTTATCAAATTTCAGGAAGACCGTAGTCAATAAATTCATCTCTTCAACAATCATCTGTAAGATTATAAGATAACAAATATGAACAAGCAGGATTTAATAAACACGTGACATAATGCAACTGGAGAACAATTTACCTGAACACCATCAATTACACAACGATCGCCAACATCAAAAGGATGCATCACAAATACAAATATAATAGCTTCAAATATGGTCTTGCAAGTATTTCCAAACATAAATGCCGCCACAACAAGCTGGGATGAGAGAAAGACGATCACTCTGGTTGTTGCTATACCCGTCAAGAGAAGCCATATTATGATTGAGATAACAATCAGGATCCCGGAGACTAGTTTATTCAACTCTTCAACACCTGTTTTAGCATCGTTCAGAGCATGTGCTAGTGCTTTGCGATCTTTGTATACTTTCACCTGTGCAAGTAAAACACATATGAATGTTAAGAAAAGCAACTTCCTTCACCAATCAGATTATAGATTGTAGCTCCTTTTTCTTTTCTAGAACTGTTAAAGACTGAAGTACAACTTAGGTAATGAGCTATCGTTTATTTTTTTCTCTTTCTTTTAATGTAATTAAGTGTTTACTGTTCCATGTATTGAAACCTCAACTTCGAAGTGCTCAACTGTAAAAATGAAATTAGAATCCATCACATAAATGAGGAAACTGTTATAATTTTCATGACGCTGATAAAAACAATGTTGTGTACATGGCTTATATAGAGTGGAACACAAGTTCCCTGGATCAAATAGGCCGATGCTGGAGCAAAGCGGAGTGCAATGAGGGGAGCGTAGCACACTGAACGGAACGGAGCGATGACATACTGTCTAGTTGCTAGAGATGCCGAATGATTTGGGGGTGTGGGAGCAACGCCCCCACGGTACGATACATGGGTATTTTCTTGTACGGATCTTAAAGTCTTATATGGACCCAGACTAGGGTTACTATAAATAATATGTTGTAACCCCATTTTTCACTATTGAATAAAATTATCTCTGCTTCGCTCTAGTAAATTCTTGTGTTGATTTCTCTATTTCATCTCTTTATTCTTGCACATAAAATCCAACAAGCAACAAACGCCATTTAGCACTTCTTGATAATGTTTGTAATATTCCTTTGTTTTTTAAGCACTCGTCTTCTAAGATTAAGCATCACACGAAAAAAGAAAACCTAAGTTTCTCTTTTAGAGGAATGGACCAAAGAGAATAAGAAGAGCAGTAATCTCAGAGCACGCAATATGTCAAGTTTTGAACATCATTCTAGTTATTGAAGAGCTGGTTGTATAATACTTCTGAAAGCATTTTCTGAGCTATTCCAACTTACAAAGAAATCACTATTCGAGCAAAGAAATTTGAGGTCGGTCCATACTTCCTACTAACAAGAGTTCAAAAAGATCTCACGTACCACCCAGTCTATCAAAGTTTTCTTGTCAATATGCCCAGTGTTTGCCAAGTCAATCATTGGGAACACAAGATCCACCTCCTCTTTAATCATGAATCTCCTTACGTCCATTTCATCAATGTACCTATATCCACAGTAGTAATGTTGTGCAACAGTTAACAATGCATAGGAGTGATGAGATAAACACGAATGCGTGAAAAAGTTTCAAGGGCTGGATTTGCTCACTTGCAATCAGATTGAGCTACATTTCTGAAAATGTGATATGCAGCAGCAATTGCCTCCTCCTCATTCGTGATCTCCATATCCTCCTGTTCATTGTCTTCGTAAACACTTGCATCAATCGCGCTAGACAGAGTGGTCAAACCTGAATTAGATACAACATCGACCAGCATCTTCATTGTCCAAGCAGAGACTTTTTCTCGTTTCATCTGGTGGAGTTTATTGATATCAATAATCCCTTTCTCCTTTTTCTTGTCTTCCTTTCCCTTCTTCCGTGTATTCAAACTAAATTGACTTGCATTACTGCGTGATCTCCCCAACATCTGAGCTGACTCCATAACTGGTGGCCCGGATAGTATCAGCAGAATATACTGATGGAATAATGCCTCTTGAATCCGGTTAAAGAATGTGTTCACATGGAATGATGATGCCAAAATCTTCAGAAACAGCGTCTTCAAGAGCCACAAGACTGCACCAATAAGCAATGAAGCAATAGTCCAACTAATGAATTGCATAATACGGGTGACAACATGTGATCCCTCGAACCCTTCGTGGAATAGTAAAACCCAAGTAGCGAGAATCAAGCTCAACCAAATGCAGACCTGGACGCTCTTTTTTAAACCATAGACAAAATACAACACCTTATTCTTCAACAAAAAGTTGAGCTCTATCAACAATACAATAAAATGAACCAACCATTTAGAAACTAACTTGCCACTAAATGTCACCAGAACAAGGACACACCATTTCCAAATTCTCAAATCCCCAAACCTCCAAGAACGCACCTTGTCCACAGTCAAGCTAGCAATCAAGAACCCAAGAATGCACAGAAACAGTATCCATTCTATCAAAACCTTCTTTCTCACTTTCCTATACTTCAACTTTCTCCTTTTACTCACCTTCTTATATATTTCTTCATCATCAACCACTCCAACACCCCCATAAGATGACCCCAACGGCGTCCGTGGAGTTATAGACACGGTTCTTAAGACCTCTTTCGGTGTATTAGTTGTCGTAGCACTGTTTTCAACTTTCCTATTAGGTGAAGCTTGACTAGATTGCATCCCATATCCATTTTCCTCAAGCATGTTAGTATCAATAGGGACCGACGGTTCGCCAAATCTTGATTTGGGCTTTGAGTAAACAGACCTTGAAAGAGATTTTCTCCGAGTGAGAGTCTCGTTCATCGGAATTTTAGGAGGCATACTGGGGCTTTGGCTGAACCCTACAATTTCTGGCGAAGGGCAACTCATTAGGACATGATTTTGAGTAGTAGAAGGCAAATCATTTGATGTTGTACGAGGTGGATCAACTGAGTTTTTTAACTTTTGATCCTTTGGAGAATCTGTGCGGGGTAATTTCGAATCTCTATCCTCTCCACAGATGTTAACAATTACATCACTTGATGTTTTCTTGTTCTCCGTCATGTTTATTTCAATTAAAAACCTGCCAAACCAAACACAAAGCAATGCAAAATTATTATGCCTAATCCTTCATCAACACGTAAAGTCTGACAGCCTCAACTCTTCATAGAATTCCAAAACTTTCGGAAAGCTACTACTTTCCAGAATATAGAAATGTTGAAAGAATAAAAGAACAAAAGAATAAAACCCAGTTGCATTTATCTTTTTGGCACAAGGTTAAAGCACTCGCCAAAATTTAGAAGTGTAAGACAGACTATAACAAAAAATAAAATGCGCCAAAAGAAAAATGTATTTTTTGGGGCCTGCATTTTAACCGGAAAGTGCACCGAAGGCTGAAAATCTGAGAAACGCGTGGAAATGGTAAGATGGATTTCAGACACGTTTTACTTCTAACACCATAATCTAATCCTACAATTTAGAGCAACAAATAACACTTCAATAGAGAAAAGAAAAAAGCAGGAAGGCTACTTCTATTTACCGCTGCTAGGGCTGGGCAAATCTCCCGAACCGAACCGACCGAACCGAACCCGATCCGAACCGATCCGAACCCGACGGTTCTTGTCAAATTAAATACCCGAACGGGTATCTGAATTGAGAACCGACGGGTACGGTTCGGTTCTCGGTTCTAGACCAAGAACCGAAGAACCGAATAAGAACCGAATCTTTCTAATTTTTTTTATATTGAGTAAATCAAATTATTTTAATTTTAATTTTTTCTAAACAAATTAACAAATTAATGATTTCTAAATCCAAAATTTTGGCCCAATAATTTGTTTCATTTCTAATTTTTTAATTTTTGACCCAATTACCCATTTTATTGTTTCATTTCTTAGCCAAACAAGATCAAATCCACTAAATAACCCTAAACACCTACAATAAAGTGCATAACGTTGTCTCGACTCTCGCACTCACTCTCGCAGCCTATCTAATATTCCAAAACCTATACAATCGTCGGCCGACACTCTGACCTCCGATCGAAGCCGTGACTTTCCCTGACTGAAGCTTTGATCGTAGCGATCATTTGAACAAGGTAGTTTACTAATCTCTGACATTCCAAAACTATTGAATGTATCATTAGTCATATTTATATAACGTTATTATAAATGTTAAAAAATTTAATTATAGTACAGAACCGAACGGAACCGAACCGATCCGAACCGAACCGAATGGAACCGAACCCGAACGGTTCCATAATTATATTTGGACCCGACGGTTCCATTTACTAGATACCCGAAAAGTTTGGTTCGGTTCGGTTCTAAAGAGAACCGAACCGAACCGACCCACGCCCACCCCTAACCGCTGCTGTAGAAGAAGATGCTGTGTGCGAAGAATTCCCCTGTACAAGGCTCGCTCAATGTCCTCTGAAAAGGCTTCATAAACAGGAACCAGGTTTCAAACTAGACGAAACCCTGTTTATCATGCCCAGTTTGGGCTCATTTTTCCAAAGAACACATTTTTAAAAGCTACTTGTACGAACGAATTACACAGACGAGTTAATCGAATTGGATTCCAAAAATCAAAATTAAATCGACCAATAAGCCCTCAGTAGTAATTTTTTATCCCAAAAATTCGATTTTGACCCTTATTTCACTATTTCAATCGTCATTTTTGATTTTTTCACTCTCATATTTTTCTCTCTAATGGTCAAAAAATCAATTCTTATAATTACTAGCGAACAGGCCCTAAGTGTTGCCATCTCGATATCTGTAAAATTGTCTTGTACAATTTATCTATACAAGTATTATTTTGATTTAATTAAAATTCATTTTCAATTTCATTTTTCCATAAAATAAAATTACAATAAATTTAAAATATTTCCTTATTTTGTAATCAAATATTCTCTGAAAATTTGTTATTTCAAAATCTGTTTGGGAATGATTTTTTCCCAAAAAAAAATAATTTTTTAATCGTTATTTCACTATTTCAACGTTATATTTGACTTCTTACCTCACAAATAGACCTCACTTTTTTCCTAATAATAAAAAAATCAATTTTTAAAATTACTTCCGAACAGACTCTATATTTTATTACAAAATTTGATTTAAACGGAATCATTATGGGAGTTAACATAATTTTTAAATTATATTTTCTTTTAATAAAATAATTTGCACGTAAATTTATAAATTTTTTACTTTTAATTGCACATTCTTTAAACAAATCATTTCTCACAATTTTTTTCTCATAAAAATTTACGGACCAAGATATTTTATCCTCCTTTTGTCTGTAAGATAGCCTTGTGTGAGAGGGAGGAAAAAGTAAACATTGGGCGGTGGTGTACTGCGGAGTGGATTGAGATGGACCTGTCAGGCACATTGTTTGAGGATAAAAAAAGCTGAAACAACAATAGAGACAAGGATTTTAACAAGTGTAAGGGCATCGATTGCATTGCACCAAGATGCACCAAAAATGATGTAATAATATTCATTATACTAAAAAAAAAAAAAGGTTGAATCCCAACCTTAGGGGCCCCCACCGACCCTGCCCTGGGTCATTGTGGAGGAGATAAATCGCAGGATGTGACTCCCAGGAGCCAGGGTGGAGAGCACATGGATAGGCCAATGCTATTAACCCATATGGTAACTCCCGCTTGCAACAAAGCCAATTCCACCTTGCGGGGAATCGAACTCTGCACACTGCCGCGCTGAGCTCTATCCGCCCTCCCCTTTGCCACTGGGAGATATGCCCTGGGGGGGCATAATATTCATTATACTATTTTTTACACCAACTGGTACAAGGTTCGTTTCACCCTAATTTTTCATTCTTTAAAGATAATCGTCAAGAATAGTTGTATTATTTTCGTTCTATAATGATGATGATGATGATGATGATGATGATGATGATGATGATGATTATAATGATGATAATTATTACTTAATTAATTATATTATTAAAATTTATTATTTTTAATAATATAATCAATAATAATGTTATTGACCAAATCGGTAGTGTATTTTAAAAATTTTTAAACTCTTCGATCATGCATTACAGCCTGTTTTTAACCATGTTTTTATAGCAAAATTCTTTGAACAAAGCACGTGCGATGCGCGTGTGAAGAAATTCTATTTTATTGACAGTTATATCAAAACTAATTTTCTAGATATTCTTGAAATATAAAAAGGAAAAGTTAATCCGTTAAGCTAGTCTTATTTTTGAGGATTAAAGGAAGGTATACGTACGTTCAAAGAAATAAGAACGGGGATTTACAAACAAGCCGAGGAAAATGTGCGGTGCACATTATTTTTAAATTTTTACGAGTCCTGTGAAAATTTATGGCCAATATTTCTGTCATATACAAATATTTTCCACTATTTTACTTACTTTATTTAATTTTAGTTTCCTTAAAAATATGATGTAAATAAAGTATTCTAAGTTGGGTCTATTAGTCAAAAATACAATATTTGAAAAACATGGCAAGAATCCCCTTATTTAGAGCTTGTTTGCCACTTTCTCCTCCACTATGAGAGAAAATATAGAGTTTTAAATAATATTTTTTGAAGAATCTGTGGTTGAATTTAGAGAAACTTTATTGATATTGTGTGTAAAATAGAGATGACAATCGGACTCGTCGGCTCGACCCTGGAAAAAGCCAAGCTCGCCCCACCTAAAAAAGCTCGAGCTCTTTCGGCTCGAGACTCGATTCTATCAAGCCCCATTTTGAGGCGTCGAGCTGAGCCCGAGCCGACCCATGTGGCTTGTCCGCTCGACTGACGAGCCTTTATTTCAATAAAAAAATAAAGGATTTACGGCAGCAATAGCCTATATATTATTTAAAAAAAAAAACTAAGTCTATCGGGCTCGGCTTGGTAAGGCCCGTGCTGAAAACTCGGGTCGAGCTCGCAAAAAAGCTCAGATAATTTTATTCGAGTGAGCTCGAACCTCGAATTTCAACTTGACTTGTTGACACCATTACTATAGAATATTTCATTATGTGAATGTGTGGTAGAGAATGTTACTGTAGTATACAATTTAATTTGTTAAAAAATGACAAGCATGGCTTAATACAAATGAATAGTGAACTTGTTGAAAGAAATTTGATGATTCTTAGAATTATTGACAGAAAAAGATCATTAGTATATTTTCTCAACAAAAAGTTACACTCATCATCGTTTTCTAACTTTCCATTTTAAAAACTAGAATTTAAGCTCCTATTTGTCTGCCATTATTTTACATTCTACTACATTATTTGTTTACCGGACTCATTATCAACCATACATTTTAACGCAAATGAAAAACTTTTTATTCTTTTTAACTACCCATTCTCCATCAATTTAGTATTCCATATTACATTTTTCAAAATTAAATGGGTTTAAACACACCCTATTTATTCATTGAAAATTGAGGTATATACTACACCTCATCCCACCTCACTTACCCACGCACATTTAATCCATTCTTTCCCAATTCTCATATTCACACTCCGCCTCTTCACCTTCACCAGACATTTGTCGCCATAACCACCGAAATGCCAACTCCTCATCAACTATTCAACTACCCCTTCACCTCTACTGTAGAGCATCTCTAAAAAATCCTCTATTTTTAAAGAGTATCTTTAAATTTAAAGAGTAATTTATTTATACACTCCAACAAACTCTTTATTTTTATTCTTTATTTTGTTTTTTCCAATGAATTTTTAATAATTTCTCCACATATTTTTATTTACTTATAATTTTTAAGGTATTAATGACCAATCAATTTAAATGTAATTTGAAAATTTTAAATTGTAGGGTATTGAAATTTGTAATGTATTAAATATAATCATTGCAAATTAAAAATAGAGAGTGTGTTTGGCTTTCTAAATTTGAAGAGCCAAACACACTCTTTATTTTTAAAAATTAAAATAGAGTCTCTTGAGCCCATTTTTAAGTATTGATTCTTTAAAATAGAGAGTGTTTTATGTTTAAAGAGTCTATTGTAGATACTCTTAAAGCCCATTGAAACCCGTTCCCGCCTGTCATCAACTTGCTTTCACTGCTACCGCTATACAATCTTCATTGGGACTAAAATTCTTGTTCTTTTTTGCTTCTCCATCCAGTAGTGCTATCAGAGTTTATGCTTTTGGGAGAGAAGAGAGAGCTCACGATTATCCACTCTTTAGTTGTCGCCTATTCGGATAGTTGTTTTTGTTTAATCTTTGCAGATGTTGTGACTGGATATGGAGTTGGTTCTCTATTTGGTGGTGGTGGTTGTGGATTTGCAATAAAGACGATAATTTGGATGCTGTCGAAGATGGTGGAGTGGAGTGGGGTGGGTTGGGGTGAATGATGTATGTGACAAATTAATTGGATAAATTTACTTGATAAATAAATTTTGACCAATAAAACTTGTTTGCGACTAAAAAATTATTGTGAACAACAAATTGTTTTTGTAATTGTGACTAATGTATTATCGTGACCATAAATTGTATGTTATTGTGACTATAACATGTTTAATTAAATTATAGATCACAATATTTTATTAGTAGATCACAAATCGTGGCCATTTGATTTTGAAATTTTTTTACACATTTGTAATTTTTGAAATTGTATTTTGAAACATTTATAATTATAAAATTTTCCCTTTTACCTATCATTGTGTAACCATGGTGAAATGGATAACTTCTTCTTTTTTTACTCGTAAAATGGATATTTTCTTATGTTGTTGTCATAATTAAAGTAAAGTTGATATTAACTCTCATATACTAACTCTTTGTGGTTGTCCTTTAGGAATTATTAGAAAAATGACTCATGAAAAAATTCTTTTATTGTTTCGAATCTGTCTTAACTGTAAGTGCATTCGCTATTCGATTCCTTCCTCAATCTCACAAAATTTGGATTCCAAAGTCTGTATCTTTTCTTTACTTTTAAGTGACACGGGAAAAGTTGATACTAAGTTCACTTTCTCCGTACTAACTCTCTGAGCAAAAAATTTCAAAACTTTTGAAGTAAAGATTGCAAATATTGTCATGTAATTGTGTTTATAAATCGATAAAAATGAGTTGTGGATAGGTGTGTTGTATTTCTAAATCTTATAAATATGAAAATAAAAAATTGTTTAACTTTGGTCAATTGATTACCAACACTCGATAAACATAATACGTTGAACTACCTTAACATGATTCTATGTTTATATAGGCTCAATAGGTTGCAAAGAGGCTACATTTGCATAGCAAACATTGGTGCCAAGAAAGAAAAATAAGGAAAGTATAAATTGGCCTAAAAGATAAGTCCTATACTGTCACAGTTATTGTTTACGTTGAGATCAAACATTGTTAACTTCTATCTTCGAGACATGTTGCATGCTACTCACTCATCATCTCATCACGTCTATTTAAGTAATGAGGAACATCTTAGTGCAAATAGATATTTGGTTATGCAATTGGAGCGTTAACTTATCTTGCAAACTGCACTTGACTTGACATAGTTTTTCTGCAAATCTCCTTACAAGATATAGCTCTATATCAACTCGAACATAT